CCAACCGAACAAAGAGGTGCTAAGGTCACCAACCTAACAAAGAGGTGCTAAGGTCACCAACCTAACAAAGAGGTGCTAAGGTCACCAACCTAACAAAGAGGTGCTAAGTTCAACATCATCGTATGGTGAACCAATGTGTACACAGAAATCACCTTTAGCACCTCCCCCCCCCTCCTGCTCACAAAACAGCTCTTCTGTTTATTTGTTTAAAATTGTTGCTTACGTCACCAAGAAACCACTGTAAACAAACACAAGATGGCGGCTACATTTAGAGAGCAGTCCCGGAGAAACATCTATCAACAAACCCAACATATTTCTCGTTTTCTTTCTTCCCAAAAGAGTTTAGCCTGAATGTCAATTTTTTTTTAAATTGAGTGATGTTTAGAGTTTAAGTTAAGGGTCTCTTAAGTAACTATTTAAATAAAAAGTTGTCACTCATTTTTAGAGGAAATTTTTGGACTGTTAATGTGGTTTTGTGTGTTGGTGGTGTTGTATGTTGGTGGTATTTTATGTTGGTGTTGTGTTGCGTGTTGGTGGTGTTGTATGTTGCTGTGGTATTCTATGTTGGTGGTGTTGTATGTTGCTGTGGTATTCTATGTTGGTGGTGTTGTATGTTGGCGGTGTTCTATATTGGTGTGGTGTGATGTTCTATGCTGTTGTGGTGTTGTATGTTGGCGGTGTTATATGTTGATGTAGTGTTGTGTGATGTTGCTTGTGTGATGCTATATGTTGTATGTGGCTTATGGTGTGATGTTTTATGTGGCTTGTGTGATGGGTTTTTTTTTATTATTTAGCTGGATCTGAACTACACAAGGTATAATTCGCTAATTAACAGAATTGAATGTTCGCGGCGGGCAGAAGATAATTACTGTAATTTTTTTAATTTTCTAAAAATAGTTAAATAGATCGAATAGAACAGGAATAGACCCCAGCGGCTAATGCGGTGTATAAATAGATTTGAAAATAAATTAAGAAAATAGACGCAGAAAAATGTCTGAGAAAATAAACAGAACATTAAGGGAGAAAATGGTAGCTCACACTAGACTAGATCAAACTACGGCCTACAAGGATGATTGCTTTTCGCAAGAACGGTAACTCTCGGATACAAGTTCATCTGCTTGTCGTTGCATTACCTCCCTTTGATCGTGGCCGTAAACGATACCCTCTGCGGCACGAGAGACGGGCCGGTGCCATAGACAGTCCTCCCAGCCCTCGCCGTCTGCGTCTGATCAGGCAGGAACGGTTTCTCAAGCTCTGGAATGATGAAAATGTAATGAGGAAAATTGTTGAGGAAGAAAGAACAATAATTGTTGACGATACAACAACAAGGAAAGGTCAAAGTTTGCTTGCTGCGACGTCACCCCGAGAGCCCCTCACAGTCGAGCTAAAAATAAATCGATTAGAGACGAGGAAAAAAAAATACTTGATTATTTCCCCTTTCTATTAGTTAAATTTGGATCTGGGTGTTGAAAAAATATTAACGGAACCTGGATTACGCTGGGGGGGGGGGGGGGGTGTCAGACTGTAGGTGAACTATGCACATATATCTGGGGTATGTAACACGGTGCCGGTGTATAGCCATGCACATAAACACTTTGTCTCTTTGAACATATACGTGATTTGGGGTAAATTCAAAGTAAACGAACTACGTATTCAGCCCACACACCCTACCCTCAGGCCGAGGAGATTGCTGGGGTCAGGGAGGTGGGGGGGGGGGGGTTAGGTGCTTAAACATGTGAATAGATTTGTACTTTTCCTCGTGTCTGCATGTGGCATGCCATGTCTATTTTTAGCTATTGTTTGAAATGTAATTTATTGAGGGGGGGGGGAGTGTTTGATGGGTTGGCGGGGGAATTGGTGAGTGGGGTGGAGGTGGTATTTGTGGGTGTTGTCGGGGGGGGGGGGGGGCTACTGACATCCAGGAGTAATCTGCCCTGAGTCAGGAGTCAGGCTGGAGTAATCTGCCCTGAGTCAGGAGTCAGGCTGGAGTATTCTGCCCTGAGTCAGGAGTCAGGCGTCGATGGACCACCAGGTGTTGGAGTGCCGGTCTCTACCTGGGGTCTAAGTGCTGGTTCTTTGATATTCAGACCGGTGCCAAACATGCCGTAAGGCCGGATCCGGCCCCCGGCCGGCTCTTTAAAACTATTTTGAAAGACGTTTGTTTATTTTCTAATCACACACCTAATGTATTGGGCGGCAATCAATATTCTGCTAAGGGGGGGGGGGGGGGAGATTTTTTTGGCCTGGTGATAGCTATTTAAAGTGTAGAGGTGTGTATACTATATCATCTGAAGACTCTAAGATGGGCCATATATATATATATATATATATATATATATATATATATATATATATATATATATATATATATATATATAATGTATATTATATGGGAGTCTACTACCTTCCCCCCCCCCCTCCCCTGTGTACAGGTAGAAAAAAAACACCCACCCCACAGCTGTTTATCTACCACAAACATCTGTTCATGATAGTCAAGACTTAATTCACTCATCTTGTACAGTTTTCTATGCCGATTTGTCTGTCTTACGGGATGATATTCTTGTGATGTTCTTATGTTGTTCTTGTGATGTTCTTATGCTGTTCTTGTGATGTTCTTGTGATGTTCTTATGCTGTTGTTGTGATGTTCATATGATGTTCTTATATTGCTCTTGTGATGTTCTTATGCTGTTCTTGTGATGTTCTTATGTTGTTCTTGTGATGTTCTTATGTTGTTGTTGTGATGCTCTTGTGATGTTCTTGTGATGTTCTTATGTTGTTCTTGTGATTTTTAATGATGTTCTTATGTTATGCACAAAGCAGGGGTTTGTTCCCATTACCCAGTGGCTTAGAGAAGTCTCGATTAAAAGGTTTAGGTTAACCTAGTGTTAATCCTCAACAACATAACTCAACTCTAGATTTAGGTTAACCTAGTGTTAATCCTCAACAACATAACTCAACTCCAGATTCATGTTACAGTGCGTTACAGTTGTTGTTAGTGTGTGGGTAAGGGTGTGGGGGTGTGGGGGGGGGGGTAACACAATTTTGACCAATTTCTAAAGGCTAACATAGACACTTCTTCTTTTAATTAATTCAAATATTTCAAATCAACCTAATTAAGAATGATCAGCTTTGCAAATAATAAATTTAAAAAGAAAATGTATGTTTATTTTGTCATTTTGTTGTGCATTTAAATTCTAACTTTTTTGTTCTTGTCTTATTTTATCATTGACTTTACTTTCTCTGTAAATTTAAAATTTAGATATTAAATAATAAATATATTATTTGATCTTTTCTGATTTCTACTTTTGTGCGATCCGATTATTATCTCCCTTTCTTTTGTCTCCCCTAGTTCTAAAAATATCGCCCTACTCCCGTGTCTAGCGCACATATCAATTCACCAGACATTGATGTACACTAGTTCTGTTTCCCAGCATGCATCATATTGCTTTTTGATTAGCCCACAAGTGCTTAGCGCTACCTTTTACCTTTTACTGTAAAGGTCGTCACTAAAACAAAACAAAAAGCCCCGCCATTTTTTTCCCACTGAGCACGCGAGTCACGTGTCAGCCATCTTGGCGCAGTGAATATTTTACAGTCGAAACTAGGTTATAATCTGCTGTCTCAAAACAGGCACAATTTAGAAAATTGCGCACCAAATCAAGTCGGAGGGCGTGCGCTAATTTCGTCCAGGGCTTATGGTTTTTGTTAGGGTTTATTTAGATCTATTAATACCTGTTTGGCTTGGCTGCTAGGCCGCCTTTGACGCGGATGATTCTGTTTGAATTCGATTAGGTTCGTTTGGGATATTCGTCTTCGTATCGTCTGCTGGTAAAAGCTTCCCCACTTGTTGTTAAGGTCATAGATTCGACTTTGGCCTGTGTGAGTTCACAATATCGATACTGGTGAGGGATGATGTTGTAGTATCGATACACACCGGCCGTTGTTGATGGGTAGCGCCATCACTGAAATATCGATTTACTCTTCAGCTTGTTGACTTAAAATATCGATATTGTATGGTTTTGATTCGATTCTAGTATTTTATGGATCTGGCGATGATTGCGTTTGAAACCTTTTTTTTCTCTAAATAACCTTAAATCTTATTTTTCATACATGAAATATTTTCTTATGCAAGTATTTATCATACATCTGAATGTATTGCTTATATCTTCATTTGAATAGCACTATACAAACCTTGACCAGTTAACCTCTTGACTAGTCCCAGTGCTACCCCACCCCTAAACCAGTGCTACACCCACCCCTAGACCAGTGCTACACGCACCCCTTGACCAGTGCTACACCCCCTAGACCAGTGCTACACCCACCCCTAGACCAGTGCAACACCCACCCCTAGACCAGTGCTACACCCACCCCTAGACCAGTACTACCTCCACCCCTAGACCAGTGCTACACCCCCTAGACCAGTGCTACACCCACCCCTAGACCAGTACTACCCCCACCCCTAGACCAGTGCTACACCCCCTAGACCAGTGCTACACCCACCCCTAGACCAGTGCTACACCCACCCCTAGACCAGTACTACCCCCACCCCTAGACCAGTGCTACACCCCCTAGACCAGTGCTACATCCACCCCTAGACCAGTGCTACACCCCCTAGACCAGTGCTACATCCACCCCTAGACCAATGCTACACCCACCCCTAGACCAGTGCTACACCCACCCCTAGACCAGTGCTACACCCACCCCTAGACCAGTGCTACACCCACCCTTAGACCAGTGCTACACCCACCCCTAGACCAGTGCTACACCCACCCCTAGACCAGTGCTACATCCACCCCTAGACTAGTGCTACACCCACCCCTAGACCAGTGCTACACCCACCCCTAGACCAGTACTTCACCCACCCCCCTAGACCAGTACCTCACCCCCCCCCCCCTACTACTACCTGCAGCCCCTGACTAGCTCTACATGACAACGATTTGAAACAAAGTGCCATTGTTCAACCATACATCTAATGAAAGTATGTTCTCTCTGTCCCCAGTCGACAGGCGCGTCCATCCAAGTGGCCAGCGAGATGTTGCCCAACTCCACGGAGCGGGCCGTCACGGTCTCTGGCACGGCCGACGCCATCACCCAGTGCATCAAGTACGTCTGCGGGATAATGCTAGAGGTAAGTGCCGACACGCTCTGGTGAATCTCACACCTTAATCTCCGAGCAGCAGGTATGAATGTGGAACAGTGCCTGGAGAGTTTCAGAACTTACTCTTGGGTAGGGGTAGAAAAAAATTAGCTGCTGCAGCCAATCAAATAAGGATTTTAGAGGTCACGTGAACCAGACAAGATAACTGCGAATTCATTTAACAAGTTCGACAACTGCATGTGGAAATTTTTCTTAGTTATTTCCCTTGGAGTGACGTCATGAATGTGTATCCTTAAAATAAAAACGCGCGACCCAAATATACGTTACACGTTATGCTTACAATTACTTTACACTTTATGCTTACAATTGTAAACCTTATTTACGATGGCTTTCTGGCAAGAAATAAATAATCAGGATAACGCAGCCAAAGAATATTATGATAGCGGTTAAATGGTAGGCCTACATTGATTAAAACTCTTGAAGAACATTTGTAATTGTGGATGCCACGTGTCTTGTCACGTGGGGATCACGTAATATCGCTCAGCACGTGAACATACACATCTTGTTTTAAAGCGTGGAGGTGGAGGGGAGGGTGGGGGGGGGGTATTTGACGTCATTCTGTGGTGCGGCCGTCGTCATAGGCCAACGTGCGCAGATGAGCAGGGCAGGTAACTCCACTGGGCCGTGGATCGAGTTATGTAACCTTTATCGGCTTACCTCCCCGTGAAATGCGACCAACAGGTGATTTACGTCTGGCTGTGTTATCTCCCCCTACACGTGTCGTTGTTCGTGTTTCTCTTTGTTGGGTGCTGGCTGTCGGTCCTACAGACTTCTCTACTTGTCCAATTTGTCGGTCCTACAGACTTCTCTACTTGTCTAATTTGTCGGTCCTACAGACTTCTCTGCTTGTCCAATTTGTCGGTCCTACAGATTTCTCTGCTTGTCCAATTTGTCGGTCCTACAGACTTCTCTACTTGTCCAATTTGTAGGTCCTACAGATTTCACTGCTTGTCCAATTTGTCGGTCCTACAGATTTCTCTACTTGTCCAATTTGTAGGTCCTACAGATTTCACTGCTTGTCCAATTTGTCGGTCCTACAGATTTCTCTACTTGTCTAATTTGTCGGTCCTACAGACTTCTCTGCTTGTCCAACAGACTTCTCTACTTGTCCAATTTGTAGGTCCTACAGATTTCACTGCTTGTCCAATTTGTCGGTCCTACAGATTTCTCTACTTGTCTAATTTGTCGGTCCTACAGACTTCTCTGCTTGTCCAACAGACTTCTCTACTTGTCCAATTTGTCGGTCCTATAGAGTCCTCTGTTTGTCCAATTTGTCGGTCCTACAAACTTATCTACTAGTCCTATTTGTCCCTGTCGGTCCTACAGAGTTATCTTAATGTCTTATTAGTCCTTGTCGATGTGGTCGGATGGTAGAGTGCATAACTGATAACCCAAAAGCCTAAATTTCGGATCCCGGACTCAGTAGAAATTCCCTTAGTCCGCCCAACTCTGGTGGGTTATGTGACTCACGTTAGAGAAAGTAAAGACGGCTGGGCATAATTCTCACCGCCAGTTAAAAGCTCTGGTCACAGATACAGATGAATTCTACTTCATCTGCCCTACGGACCGTCCAATGCCAAAGGTTATCTTTCCTAATAGTCTTGCGATGTTCTCTGCGGCACCATGGTAGTCAAATAACAAGTTTGATTTCAATTGTTCCTCAAACATAATTCTGGTGCTTGTGTTGATAGAGTTTCAAGAAAAAGTTTTTAAATGAATCAAGCTCGGCCTATTTTTTTGTCTAATTGATAAAAAAAATTGGCTGGGGGGGGGGGGGGGGGGGGTGGCTTATCATGTCTGCTGCACCGTCATGGCATTCAGCAATATGCTTGTGGTACTTGGGGGAGGGGTGTAGGTGGGGGTTGGGTTGGTGTAAGGGACGTAAAGGGCAGAACAGTTTGACTAGATATGCTATAGGTCACATCATGGGGGCTCTATCAGCTGGGGAGTATTTGGGGTGGGGGAGGGATGATACTGGAAAGAATTTGTGGAAAAGGGGTCGGGGGGGGTTGTGGGAGTAACCAAATTAGATGGGGGGTTAGAGGGTGGTCAGATGGGGGGGGTGTTAGAGGGTGGGTCAGATGGGGGGGGGTTAGAGGGTGGGTCAGATGGGGGGGGTAGAGGGTGGGTCAGATGGGGGGGGGGGGGTAAGAGGGTTGGTTAGATGGAGGGGGGATTAGTGATCAGGTGTCGTTTTCATGCATGATTCACCATTTTATAATCCTTCCATTATTTGGTTTAATTGGAATGAGCGTCCGTCATCACGTGTTAGACGTATGTCTCCTATCATAACCCAGAACAACTGACGCATTGAACTACATTGACTACAATCACCACTAAACAATACATCCTATTGAAAAACCACAAGGGAGCGAACTTCGCATACCAGGCCGCTGGAACTTGCGTGTGTGGGTGTTT